ATCTACTTGGAGATTACCAGTAAACCACCCGGCGTGCAGCCTGCTACGAGGCTAGAGCCCTACATGCTCCGTCTGGAACCCTGCATAACCCCAGCCGCCACCCCTACTTCTGAGGTCGGGCCCGGAATTATCGGAATCTAATTTTCGATGTAAAATTTGATAAGAGGCCTGATGTGAAAGGAGAGTTATCAATGGTTTATAATTAGACTGTGTTTGCGTATGGGGAATTTCTGCTTTTGCGTTATGAAATTTGGATATTGTGCACTGATTTTGTCTTTATTCCTTGTATGTTTTCTTTTCCTTTTATAATGTTATTTACAGGATTACAGAAAATAAAAGTACAGCGCATAAAACTGTCTACTTAAAAAACTATGAGCTTAAGAAAGTCATACAACACACATCTTAGGATGGATTTATAACGTTAGAATTTGAACTTCATGATCAAGCAGTGCATAAAACTAGTTATAGTACCAAATCAACGACATAAACCATATTTCTTTTACCTTATGGTGAGGCCTATGACCAAAAGGGCACGTTTCCATACTTAAACACACTCGTGGTATTTCCCAAAGAAACGTAACACCGGATTAGAATTGGCGGTGAAACTGACAGTTTCCAAAATAAATTCTGCCGAATTCCGGCGATCGCTGGTGCGTGGAGCCTGTTATAGGCGGTGTTTGGGTGTAAGTCTGGATGTTTTGGTCTCAACGGTTTTGTTTCCAAATTCAATTACAGTCGGGATGTTTCCGGTACTTCGGAGAAGTCATTTAGTACTACACGGTACTTGCACCTGTGCCTAAACCGTTAGAATTCAAAAAAGACATTTTCAACACAGGTTTTTTTACCTATATTGAAGATACCTACAATTTTGAAACCTTAGAAAGTGTTGTATTGAATAGTCGTTATTTCGTTGACTTTTTTTTAGATGGAGAAGAATTGTGTTCTCTTAAAACGATTTTTTAAAAATCAACTAAAAGAGAATGAGAAATAAATGATAATACGCTCACAAGAATCGTGAAAATTCTACTAAAATGCTATAAAAAGGGCCACGAAATCGTATACATAGATACAAAGTTTGGAAAATATAGAAAAAAAAGACAGGCGAATGAAATATATCATACAAGCCTTTTCAACAGCAAGATTCTTTGCTGTAGCATAGCGTTAATTATCTCAAACTTCGTTGTACAGAAAAGGCATACATAAATATGACAGTTCAAAACTTCACTATTCTTCCTTATGAATAGACAAAGCCTTTCCCTCTACCCCCTATTGTATGACAAATCCTTCTAAAAACGTAAAGTTTGTAAAACAACTTTACTGAAGATTTCCAAAACAGAACGGGAGACAAAAAACTTTGTTGTTGACTGTATTTTTTGGAAACCAAACACGGGAAGGGTGGATCCGCCTGACTGACTGAGCGTGAAGATTTGTAAAGCCGCCTGGCGTCTAATTCTTACACTGCTGCTTGTCTTACCAAACCCGCTAGGGGGACCGTACGTTTTGTATCCGTGCAGGATGGGGTAGGGGATGGGGGTGCAGTGGGTGTCATACTAGCATGAATCCACATAAACGTACAATGTACAATGAAGTTCAAAAATTACTGCCGTGTGCTATGTTATTATGTAATGTTATGTCACATTTTGAACAAGAAACGGTTGCTAAAAAAATTGTATATTTTACCAGGAGTGGCAAATATTCTTAGCCTCTATCAGGCTTCGGGAAGTGGCTGAAAAGAGTAGAAATGTGCGAGGGGAGTTGGTCTGGCCACTAAGAGAACAGTTTGCCGCTTTCGGGGCCTGGTAGAGGCTAACAAAAAAAAGTCTCGCAATACACCAACATGTACTTGTACCACAACTCAAACAAGGAAATGACGCAATAGATACCTAAAACTAGGATGGCATTTCCGGTTAGGATTCCCTTTCCCGCAGGTAATATCATATCGCCAGGCAAATATTGGTTTTGATTGAGTGTCTAAACCTCCCCCACCTGACACAAAAAGGTGGAAATGTCTTAGACTTTGTTTGAAGAGTCTGGGATTTCCGTCGTGTCGTCATTTTTTTCTGAAATAGGAATGAGATAGATTATACGGATTCGTTGTCAACGACTGAACAAACTACTAGTATGTGTCAGAGAATATACCAGAAACTGTTTTGTTTTTGTGTTCATAGTATTTCCTGAAACAGAAAAATGACTACCTCTACTTTTGAACTGACTGAAATAATCTTAAACTTTCTATGAATGTTATTCACTGTTGCTATTATTTATTGGGTCTCATAGCCTTTTACTTTCCTGAGTAAAGTTTAACTGCAGTTGTAAAGTAATTATTCAGCGTTTACACAACAAAAGCCCGATCCCAAAGTCCCACCCACCGATGTCAAAACGGCAAAATGAAAACATAACTTGAACTGCAAATACTACATATGCAGCCACTATCTCATTGGTCGAACTATTATATAAATGACTGTTATCCTCTCATTGCTTGATTCTATTGTCTGGCACAAACAAACTCTGTTTACAAAGAAATCTTGATCATTATGGACGATCCCCAAAGGTGAACCGTATAATTGAATCACCTAAAACACCATTTCCTGTGACCAACGTTAGCAGAAATTGCGCGGGAAACTGGCCGATTGCCGGCAATATTTGGGGTTGGGACGAGGGAAATCCGGTCTTTACCTAATCCATGTCCAAACAGCAACATACAATAGTTTTAGGTCTGCTTTGAAAGATACCTTAGGAACAAGCCTTCGTCATCGGAAAGAAAGGTTTATTTAGGTATCCTTTGTATAAATCTCTGTCGTACAGTTTTGTGAGGAAGAAACTTCACTTTTCAGACGACATATTCCTGTTTCTGACAGAAATTGAACACACAGAAGTGCTTGTCACATAGTCTGTGTGTAAACTTTATGTTTACTAGGTATCCTTTGTATAAAAGTTCTGAGGGGAAGAAACGCATTCAGCGGCTAGGTTGATTTTTCAGATGATATATTCCTGTTTCTGATTTTTCAGACGATATATTCCTGTTTCTGATTTTTCAGACGATATATTCCTGTTTCTGACAGAAATTCAACACACAGAAGTGTTTGCCAGACGATAGTTTGTCTGGAAAGTTCTGTCAACACCTTCCCGACATGCCCTGTCAATGATTAACGAGCGCCCCCTGACATGTCGTACAATGGTCGAGTCGTTAGTTGTATCAACAGAGGTGCGGCAAGCCACAACCCAGGCAACATTCACTGCAAACCCAGCAACGGGAGAGAGGGGGAGATCCGTGAATGGTTCTCACGTCTTCCCTCACTTCACTCTGGTGAAAATGAGCACCTAACTTCGGTTGGGGACGTCCGTCGGATAGGAGGTTAAATTGGCATTCCGTGTTTAACGAGACATAGCTATATGATCTCATACGTAGATTTGCACACCTTTAGCTGGGTAGCCTGGAAGAATTCGAAGCCATAGACCCCTTCCCCCGAAGGTTTTTCACTGAACGCTTCCCAGCAAAGGTGTGCTGACGCGTGTCGAGGTGACGTCACCCTCCATCTCCCCTGCTCGCCGCCGAGCCAGCCACCTGCCCAAGCCGCGACCCACCGAGCAGGAAAACGGTTCAGTCACACCCGAGCGGCGGTGCAACCATGTACGTCCTACGGTCTTCCCTCCTCACAGCGTCCCTTCTCCTGGCCTTCCTACACCTTACAGGTGGGTTATCAACTAAAGACTCTCTCTACCAGGTCTAACACCGTCCTGAAGGATCTTAAGAGCATTTAAAACGGAGCCCCATTGTGGAAAAACGTTATCCAATATGTAAAGTACAAGCTGAGAGACCAAAGGCAGGGTATACCGTTCCAGGGCTCTATTCTTCAGGAACTGGTTCACACGTGTAGTTCAAGTATACGTTTTTGTTCGCTGGTATCCTTTTTCAAAATGCACGCACGGTGGATTTTTTAAAAGGTCTTATAAAAGAAAATCTGGTAGAGACACTTGTTGAAAATTCCGGTTGCACTAGTAGTTTACATTTAATCTTCAAACATGGTAGCCTTGAGCTAAATGGTGTAGTTAGAATGCCCATGCTGTTTTTTACACGTCCCGTCAGCCAGACTGAGTTTCTGCCCAGCTATCCCATTCTGTACTGTAAAGCTAGTTGAAGATGTTTGTAGACAACTTTCACCCCTTGTTTTGAGAAAACGCCAGGATTGTTGTTGGATAGGATACGAAGTGTGACGTGTTGTATTTGGGGTTTAAGTCAGTAACAACCGTTCAGGTCGCTTTTAATTACCCTTACATATCCAATTTACAGACGCTAACACTGTATATAGCAATAGTTTTACTACGACCCTGAAGAATTCTCATTAAAAAAAACGTGTCTTTGTTTTTCGTCAACACAAAAATCAGATTACCAGACTGGAGAAAATTGTTTGTGTTTACGTCTGAGCTCAGCATACAACAAAGCCGAATTAAGCTGGATAAATATGCAACTAATTCTCTAAACCGCTCAACTTTTTAATTTCCTTCTAACAGCCCCTTGCTGAAACACCACGATTGAAAAAAAAAAACAAAGAACCAAATGCTCATTTTTGTTCGCCTTTTCTAATAAAGTATAGCCGTTAAAATCACGGAAGCCAGACTTTGTGTTTCAATTCTGCGAGTAAAATTTTGTAAAAATACACACGGATTTGTCCCAAAACACGATTATTTTTTACCTCAAGTTGGGGCTCAAATTTCAAGTCCCGTTTTGACGAACACTTGGTGAAATGTCTTCCCGTGTTCTTGTCCAGATAAGCCGGTCCTTAATGTATTGTCAAGACGTTCAGGAAGTTCTTAAGTTACCCCCTTAGAAGCTGGGTTGGTTTACAAATTGACTCATGTTGAAACGCAGCCGTCTCGTTCATATCCCTGACTCCTTTTATAATCTAAATCCACTTAGAGCATGACAGTTTGAGCTAAATTGTAAGCGTCAGGGTGAGAGGTTGGATCGTTGGTTCATGTCAACGTGCCTCTGGTGTCTATGTTGTCACTTGCTTGACTTGTTTTACTCCTGCGAAATACTTCTAGGGTCGGTTTTGGCTGTAGTGAGTGAGAGAATATGGGAAATGGCAAGGGTTAGGGTAGTGTTACCGAATAGCGGGCTATATTTCCCAGCGGTTTTACTTGAATGAGTGATTGCAAAAACATGAGAATTACTGAACACTTTGCACGTTTCCTACGATTCTTCGGGCTTCTTAAACATTACCTTTGCTCGTAATCTATTAATCGTAACCAACTAATCACTCTTAATCTAATTCCTTGACTGAGAAGAAAATTTACTAGCTTGCGAAGTAGTAGGAAAAAGTAGATAAAGAATTTAGTAAGACAAAAAAGTACCGCGACTTTCGTAAGGTTTACTATACATACAAACAAGTGGATATACATTGTCAAATGAATTAACCTACGTACAAGTACATGAATAAATCAGCATATTGAGTTTAAATTTAGTTTGACCGTTGGCTGACATGCCCTATTTTATCCCCCCCCCCATATAAGTCCTTGTTTACCACGACCTAACCAACTATATGTTGTAAACATTCTTACTGTCTCACCCGATAAGATATAGGGGCAACAGGTGATATATGTTGTACTGTTATCCAGTACATTTTTCTTTTACGTGAGGGGGAGGGGGTAGTCGTTGAAAGATTCCCTATCGCCAGTGCATGGTACACTGGAGCTCTTCACCGAGTGGTCGTGCTTGAGTTCGCGGGCGTTCCTCGCCACAGGACCGTACAGACGTGACGTGTCGGCCGGTAACGCTTGGTGCAGGGGAATGCGTAACGACGACAATGACGCTTTTATATGACTCGCCCCCCTCCCACCCACCGACGAATTTTAAAACCCCTGACCAAATATTTCTCTATTGAACTCGCGTCTTCCTTTACAAATCCATAACCATGCTTCCTGTAGTTCAGTCATTAAAAGAATTTAAAGGAGATATTTTCTGACACTTTTCATACTTTTTTGTGGTTCTACGTACGTACAACCAAATTCCTAACATTGCACCAGGTATTGTAACTTGTGGCTTGTTATAACAATATAAGTGAGGAAATCGGCATTTCAGTTGGATAATGTATAACGTTAAATCTTTCAAACAACAACATGTTTGAGTAACAGAAAGACGCGTCAACATTTGGCGGCGGTTTTAGGATATTAAATTCTACTTTGTTTGCTTCCCCCCTCCCAAGACTTCCTTTTAGCGAGTAAAAAAGCTATCCATATTTGGCGTTTATTACAGTTTCAGAAGTTATTGTACAATTATATACACAGGAAGTCTTCCTGTAGAAAATTGTCTCAGGTATGTTTTGAGTAAACTTTTTAGTTCCGAGTCACACATGTTGGTAATTGCGTGCTTTATTCAATAGTTACTAAGGGCGTTTCAGTTTCAAGTAATAATAGATTTTGTAATCCAGTTCAGCTAGATTGACGTTGCCCTTGGGTGATATGTTGTTGTAGATTAGGGTAAGAGTAGCTTGAGCTAATGTCTGGTTTTCAAGACTGTGTTGCATTGAACTAGCCTTAAGGCCAGGCTTCCAAGGGCCTACACAGGCCAGCTCGTCGGCTCAAGGTCCAACATGTCCCCTGCGAAACATTAGGCTCAGCCCGTGAGGTAGACCAACGTCTACCGGTGCTGTGGCAAAATTTCCCCGGGGGCATGTTGGCCCTGGAGCCGACGAGGTGGCCAGTGCATGTCCTGGGAACAGTCTGGCATCCAGGCTACTCTCAGCTGAAGCTTTTCAAATGGACTGACAGCCAAACAAAGCCGACGGCACCCGAGTGGCAGTCAAGACTTTTAAAACACTGTTGACTGGTTCCAAAGGGCACACCACCTAACGACTAACGCAAACCTTGTCAAAACAAGTACGTGTGGGCATACAGTGGGGGGAGGGGGGCAGGTGACTCAGACATACGCTGTTTGGGTGTTAGTAACTAGTACGCTGATTACACATGAGGTAGACTAATCTTTTAAACGCTCTGTTTGTTCTGCACACGTACCAACTATGTTGGAGGTAACTCAGCGACCGTGATCCATTGTGTGTTTGTGAATGAAAAATAAAGGTCAAAGTAGATCAGGAAAAGAAGAAGGGAAAACGGCAAATATTGATAGTAGTTTTTGGAACAAATTCATTTCTGCACCCAGAAAATATATCTATATAAGAACTTCTAATAAAATTGTATTGTTGATTCCTCTGTACCTTATATGGTGAGTGAGGGTACAAAGAAAAACAATCCAATGTTGAGCATTTCCGTTGCTTTCTTCAAGAGAAATGACCCTCTTCTTTTTATGCGTGACCGTGACTGCAGTAATGGGTCAAAAGTCTGTAACGTCCCCCGTCTGGGTCGAGGGAAGTTTGATGCTGAGTCTAAATTTATGTTTTGTTGGATGAAGATGAGTACTTTTAATCTAATTATGTCATTTCCTTATCTCTACAGGTGCCCAGCAGAGGCCAGTGGTAACGGTTACAAACTCCGGCAATGTGCAAGTTTTCCGGACGGACACCGCCAACCTCAGCTGCAGCTTTGTTTCTTCTGTATCACTAACCGTGTACAGTGTGAGTTGGTACAAGCTGACCAACGATGGTAGAGAAGGAGCGCCATTCCTAGTATACATCAACAACAATCCTGTACAGGAAGACGCCAACAGACTTGCAGAGCTTGGATTAACAGGCAGAGTGAGTTTTCTGCCGGACCTGACGTCCATCACCATCCAGGAGACGGCCCAGCCGGACACCGGCACGTTCCGCTGTGAGGTGGACCCGATCTTTCCCGGGGGAGGAGTCGCCGCTTCCGTGGACACAAACCTCACAGTAGTCGGTAAATATCACATCTAACATTGTACATAATAAATCTTAGCCACGTATTTTACCAGTCTGACCTTCATTTGTCTGTGATTTGCAATAACAATGTTTTGTTTTGTCATCACATTTGTGGAAGTCGTAAGAAATATGATATTTGTATTTCAGTTCTGCCCCAGGTGACGATAGCCCAGCTGCCCGTCACAGCGTACGTACAAGAAGACGTCACACTGACCTGTCAGTCAGGCAGCTTCCCGGTCTCCACCTACAACTGGTCAAGGTAAGACAATCAGTCAAACTCTGTACTGTATACAGAAGAAGAAGAACTTTATTGCTCGACAATTATACATGGTACAATGTATGGCAAAGACTATTGAACATAGTACAAAAAAGAAAAGGGTACAGAATGAAAATTAACATCCTAGTGACATCAAGAGCTTTATATACAGTATACAATCAAGTAGGGCTAATCATGAGTTTGTCAACATGGTGAAACTATTTAGAGATATGTTCCACACTGTTTTATTTCATCGTTTACTTTTTCCCTACCGCAGAGTTGACGGCGCTGCTCTCCCCGGTGGAGCGACGTTCCACGAAGGGTACGAGCTGGTCATCCCGAAGGCGGTGCTGTCTGATGCCGGGGAGTACCGCTGTGTGGCCGATAACGGGTACGGCACGGATACCGGCACGTACAGGCTCACACTCAACGGTAAGGACGTTATCCTAAAGCAGTGGTAGATAGGCTTTTTGCAGTCTCACCTTCTGCAATATTGCAAAATGTCAAAATTTTGTTCTGCAATTCGGAAATACTTTCTGCAAACACACACTAAGTCCAGGTCTAAACCTATTGCATGTACAAAATTGCACGTTGGCAAACATTTTACATGCAAGTATATGTCATAGAGTCAGTAGTAAATACAAAAGCTCATTGAATCCCTAGCCCGATTTTTTAGTCTGCAAAATCGCAGCTGCAGGTTGCTTAATTTTTTTACTACTACAGTCTACAAAATGCAGAATGCAGATGGGTATTTCTAAAACTGTATAGATATAACAGTATGTTAGATAACTAAAAGGCAAAAAACACAATCACACCAAAATCTTCCGTTCACACGACATGACGATCTCTCAAATACATAGATACACATTGGCATTGCAATTGTAATCTACATATGGGAGACGAACAAAAAATAAACATTATGGCGGTATGCTGCGTTCATACTACATACTTTGGTTCCTATCATCACAACCTAATGACTTAGGTTCTATGCTGAATAACAGTACATTGTAGTTGATGCTAGCTGTCTTTACTACCCATTCATCAATCTACACCATGTTCCACACTAATCTACCGTGAACCCATTGACGATCCTGTTATTCTGACCCACGAACTATGTGCAGTCTTTGGAAAACCGTACCTGTCAACCTAGAACACAAGGTACAACAACTATCGTTGACCCGAATGTGTGTGGTTGTTACCACCCATAACAACATTCCTACAACCCTACACTAACACATGGACTGGATTCCTGACAATACATGCGACATTCGGTACCATTGTATGTTCTATTATGTTAGGAATGTTGTCCTAGTATTTTCACTGATTTAGAGAGTGTATTCTGAACAAAGCAGCCTTACACTTAAGATTAGCAAGGCATAGATTCTCTACGAAAGAAAGGCTTAAAAGAAATTCAAAGGGTGTAGTTGGCGTGTAACGCCGAAGGGCGGTTCTACCGGCTATACAGTGAGATATAGCTAGATTCAAATACGTTTTCAACATAGATAGGAAGGACTAGCTACTAAAGTTGCAGTTGCATAAAAAGTGCAAAACGCTCTGAGAGACGAAGTCAAAAGCACCCCTGCCAAAATTTATTTTTCTCACGAGACAAAAAGCATTCCTGCACTAGGTGTGTTTTCATTCTTCATAATAGCTGAAATAACACGACAGAATTAAGGCTTAATGCATATACTTTAACCCGATTAGCAGACAAGGCAAAACAGTAAGTTGTAAAAACAACCAAGAGAAACTTTCTTTAGTAATTGTTTATTCAGCAGAAAATTGAAAAACGCCCCCATCCATTTTAGCCGTCTATTGTTAGGTTACAGTACTAACATGCGGTAGGTAGTGACTTCAAGCTTGGCCCTATTATATTAGTCGTCTATTTTTTTTGGATACCACCATAAATAGCTAGAACCAGGCTACGATACGAAACAAGCAACAATTTTCCGTCAGTAACATCGCATTTTTGCTTTACAGATATCACAGATATTCTGGTTGATTCAACTTAGTTACATTGAAAGAATGACCAGAAAATTTAAGTTTGAAAATCTATTTTTGCCACTCAGAAATTGCACTGAATACCTTTAAGATTATTCTGAAGAGAGTTTCTAGTCTCCGCCCATTGTTTAGAGTGTTTTCCTAACCCAGCGGAATCTGATACAGAACTCCAGTCACCTTATCCGGGATTCACGCCACTTAACTCATCGAGGACAGAGAAACAAAATGTCCTTATCAAAACAAGGGAATTTCTCCTCTTCGCAATCACAACGCTGAAAGGGAAACAAGTTGAAAGAAAATAACGTCCTGTTTGTGAAGATAAAGATAATTGATGACGATGTTTCTGTCAGAGCCTGCAAAAGAGAAACAAATTATCAAATTCTACAAAAAATAACTACGTGATCTTTGGGTATATACATACTTTTTTCAAGGTGGTTTAATATATTATCAAGAAATACACATGTACAACTCCTTTGAGCGTATTGATGTTTTGTCTCAAGAGATTTGTCTTATTTTTTGATTCATCAAAAATATATCATCAGTAGAATACCTTTGCTATTGCTTTATCGGTACATTTGGGTTAAACATTATCTTTTATTTGTCTTATGTATACATTCGGCCCATTTGTACAAACATTTCCACGAAATCCCCAGGAACAGATTCAGACATGTAGTTTTCCTGTTGTCGTTCATTTTATGATGTGGATTATTCTTAAAATTTACAATTTCCTTGTGAGACATGACTTCACTCAACACCTGTGACACCTGTGAAATGTACCCCTTAAGGTCTTAAGCCTATCGTTGCCACCCATTGATTACGACTGAGTATACTCTAAACTAAACCAACAAGGACTATAAATGCACTGAGCGTCATAGCTATATATAGCTACAAATTTGCTGCTTGTATGAGATCCATTGCCCCAAGACTATCTACATAAGGAAACTCTCCTTATTGTTGTTCTAAAGTAAAATAATTTTTTTAATTGTTTTGATATCGTGTTTTTTACTGTCCTAAAACACCAAAGTTTCATCCTTTATTTCTTTCTTTATTTGAATTTACCACAATGCAAAAACAAGTGGAAAGGAGGACAAAACAGGTGTATCAACGCCTTTACAAGTTGTCCTCCCAAACCTGAAATGATAATACAACACAATACGGAACCAAGTCAAACAATAAACATTAGACATTAGACATCAAAAATCAGTAGACATGAAATATACAATTCGGTAAAAGTTATACACAGAATTGATCCCGCTTAGGTCCTTTAACATGAATGAAAAAAAAATGTCTTCATTACATCTGTAACGCTGCCAACAGTTAGTTGCATCTTCCAGTCCAGAAACTCTTTTTTTACGCTCATCGTCAAGTACAAAACAACCTGACTATGAGACGATCCCGACAGAGGTACTAGTACTCTCCTGACGAACACGGGAGTCCTTTATGCCCTAGACAAGAGCTGCAGGGTGGGATTAACCAGAGTGACCTGCCTCGTCTTTAAATGTTCCCCTCGAGTGCTCTGAGTTGAAGAGCGAGTGTTGAAGGGTTTGTCACACCAATTATAGGATTAGGCTTCAGTGATTAACAAATGTTCTGATTGCTTTTCGTGCAAGTGAGTCACCTAATTCTCTTAAAAGGTGTTATACTGTACCTTCTCTCTGTAGTTACGTTATAAAATAATACAAAATCAAAGCAAATTACAATAATTTTCAAGAAGTTGCCGCAGCAGTCGCGAATAGTAATTATGTAGAATCTGTTTCTTTCAAAGTCCGATGCCTTTATCTTTGAGTTCTGAGTTCAGATTATCAAAACATGTTATTCTGGGAGATTTTTTATGAGCTAATCTCACTATCTTTCATGTGAACAGTGTAAAGGAAGTTGACAAATACCGTCTGGCTGGAAAAACGTCGTCCAGAGGGGTTAAGGGATTAAGGTACAACAATGATTTAGTTTTCTGTCCAAAGTGTGAAAGAAGCTATTGAATAGACGGACGTTGTCTGAATGTAATCCCTTTTAGTCTGACAATAGGAAAGATATGCTAGTACTTGATGTTCTAACACTTTGCCGAAATACCTATATAACCCCTTCTTTAGAGAAATATCCCAACTATTTTGCCAAACAATACAGCACTAAAATCCATCTTCGGTATCAGTTGATGAACTAGTTCTTGGTTAACTGGAGATAGTCTTTAGCAATTAGGAATGTTGATCATTGCTTAATTAAAGACTAGATAGTTTCTGCTTGAATAATAATGGGCAATTCTGTAAAGCCTGGTTTATGAAGGTGTTTCCTTTTTTGTCCGATGTCTAATGTGAAGTCATCAGATGAAGACACCAGTGGGAGTAAGTATAAAGATTAACCAAGTGACTTTAAGCTAGCTACTGCTCGAGGGGTTTGAAGCTTTTAAACCGTTAATGTTATTGTCTTGTAGGTCCCATCAAGGCGGCCAGATGACTGATACCATCAGTGATTATATCCAACCAGATTATACATTCAATGTACAGGTTACAAAGGAAATGGGGAGGGGGGCGACTTTCTGTAGGCCGGAAAAATAAAGATGGCATCGAAACGCATCAACAACTAAACTCATAAATACGTCAGAAAAGCCAACATTTTTTTCAGACTGGCTTCTAAATGTACATCAACTAACTACTTAAGTGCCACCATGCTTCGAATCCTTACAACACAGAGTTGATTGTGGCTATTCAGTTATCGCAGACACCATGGGGGAAGAGACTCTTACATGTTACATACCGTGTCAGGTATGTTAGTCACGACCTTCTTATGGCTAGTTCTAGCGAGACGAGATGTCTGCTGACAATGTTGCTGAGGATTTTGTGGAGACACAGTGAACAGTACACGTGTCTGAGAATTTGCCTCTGGACCAAGAGGTTGGGAGTTTTAATCCCGACTGTGTTGCTCACCTGACATGCACGCTACTGGAAAGAGCCCCTGTTCTTAGGAACTTGAACTCACTGAACTTGTCGAAAATTTAAAGAGCTAGCAGATTTTTTACCGTACAATGAACCTGGGTGTATAAACTGTAAACGTCTGTCTTCTCTGTCACGACCAGTGGAAGAGTAACTGTTCACCGAGCTAAACTCGTTCAAGAAAACTTCCTGAGTGTGTTAGCCTAGACTATCCGATTAACATTCCTCCTAAAGACTGTTTTTAGTAGTAGATCTAGTAACACACGGGCTAAGGTATGCCCGGGACGTTGAAATCTTCCCTAAGTCCCTACTTGGCAACTCACTCACATCTTGACCCCTGTAAGGAGATAGTAAACCTTTTTCTAAGTCGGATGTGTACAGTTTAGGACAAAAGGGGGGGGGGAGATTTGCAGTGATCTGTTGAACAAGGTCTCCTAGCATGACCTCACATAGGCACACTACTGTGGAGGCAATGTTCACCAAATGTCCTTCGAGGGAGGGGGCTGCCTGCGAATTATATATGAAGACTAACACATAGCTGTTCTTGGTATGAATTTACGCATATGATATGCTGAATCACGGGTTTAGGAGGCATCAAAAAGCAGCTTCTACTTTTATGTTTTTTTGTCCCACAAAGCGTAAAAATATGAGTAACACATCGTCACCCACGCAATGTCTTTGACTCCTAAATTTCTTTGACACGGAACAAAACAAGACTGCCTAACGTCTTTTTGATGTAATACTAATAGCTGAAACATGGCTCAATTTTTAACGACTTATACAGATTATAATGTGCATTCATCTTCTAAATCTTAGTGCTACAACTCGACATACCTCTGGTGGGTACGTAATTTGCCTCAGTACTGAGTAGTCATTTCCCAGACATATTTATGTAGTCCCTTATTCGTGACACTAAATACCCATGGATCCTGAATCCCGTTAAACAGGTTACATGTGTTTGTCTATGTGCTTATGGGACTTGATGTTTGGCTCTAATTGGCTTACTGAGGTGCCACACAAGATAGTGGAGTAAGCCTGTCTTTTCAACTCCGAACTCAACATTTTTTCCCGAGCATGAGTGAAATTGTTTATTGTCTTACTATAGCTTTTTATGCTGCCACACTAGCTGATCATATCCTAGATGTTATAATTTTAAGCCTTAGAATACATGTGTCTTATCTGTGTGTGTCAACATTTACTTGAGAAGATACGAATGAGATAGGGAGTGGCTAATCTACAGTGATCAGTTGATAAACGTACCTATCATGATAAACACACGACACAATGCACACAGACGTTACAAGTTAGCTGTGTACCAATGCAAATGACGACACCCTTTTTGTTTTAGCTCAGACAAAATAGTATTTGTCACAATGAAAACACTGAATATAGAATCATAATGATATTTATTGGTTTCACGTTGTAAAAGAAATATGTTGACCGGCAAAATTAAATCAAGGACGTTTTATCAAGTCCTTGATTATACACGCTAAAGCTAAAAATACCGACAGGCCTTGCGATGACCTTGTCCATTGTCACAGAGAATACACCAGACAAAACCAGGGTTACATAAGGCTGTATGGTAGGAATGATAGCAGCCTTGAACCAATGAAAACATAGAACACAAAGAGAGAAACGTTATGTTATAAACCAATAAAAACACGGTACACAAAGGGAAGAACGTTGTGCTAACCAATGATAACACAGAACACAAATTTAAGACGTGTTATGGACGCCATATTGGTAGTTTGGGGGAGGGCATTTGCGTATTCACTGATATGTAGAAATTATATGTTTTACATACAGTATACTTTATAGTGCTTATCAATTACTAACTATTCAATGATGTGCATCAATATTAGAAAATACACTGGGCTTTTTTCTTCTGTGTTCCTGAATAACATAATATGCTTTTTATACAACTTTGCTTTCTGTCTTTGTTTAATTACCAATCACAAATAAATGATTCTTTACGTTACCAATCATAGGAACAAAGTTACTGCTTGATTAGGAAATCAATCGATTAATCAATTAACAAATCAATTAATCAATACAGAAATCAATTAAACCAGAAATCACAAATCACCTAACTGGTTGTACCGATAAATGTCATAATTGACCAGAGCCAATCAAGTCAAAGTGATCATTTCAATCATCCAATCAGATGGCGGTTATTGTTTCTCCATTAACGTAATGTTTTGTGTGGTTTTCTTGTGTTTACAGATAGAACAACCGCCAAGCCCGCCACACAAACGGCTAAGCCCGAAACAACTGTACCAGGTATAGAATTTGAGATCTAAATTCCAAATATGCATGAACAAAAATCATATTTTCTTGGCTTAAAGATTAGTTGTAGTTACATATCCAAGAGTATTTAGTGTAGTTAGTAAGTTGGCTTTTGTACCTGGTTTATTACACTTGCCCAAATCTTTCGCCCCCCCCCCCAAAAAAAACCCACCAGATTCTCACCCCCGTGCACGTGAAATAAATGGTAACACCTGAGCACAAATGGCGATGACGCATTCACGGAAAGCTATGACATCATGCATGAAAAGGCATTAGTAAATATAAATGTGAATTTAAACATTGATTAAATACCAAGGTAAGGACAAAGGAAACTTCATATTAAAAAACACAGAAGTTGAAGGAGGATGGAATTGCACTAGGCCATTTGCAGTGGAGCTTTCATTGAAAAAAGAAGAAACCCCAATGCTAGCTGCTATCATACTGCATGATATTACATGTAGCTTTTACAATTCGCATAGACAGTGCAATGTATTTCTACAAGCGTTTTTGTACTAACAACTGCCTTCGCTATGTTTCACTTATGCTTCATGTTGGTGTTGCATGCGCGTGCTATGCTCTTTTAGCAACTTATGTTGATGTCGGTTATGGTGTATTTGAAGGCTATTGCACTACGAAAATGTTGTTCAATGTTATTGACTTATTGAAGCATTACGACTTGTGGATGACAAAGTAACTTAGTAGGAGAAAGTACCTTTTTCTCCTTCCCTTTTTCTTTTTTTTTCGCAAATTATATCATTAAGATTATTTGCAAATTGTTGTCAAACTAGAGCCTCCAAAACGCATGCATCGCAAAATACCTTTCTAGATTCGGACTACGTCAAGTTAAATCTATCCGTGCTTTGATTTCTATTCTTTCAACTTATTGAATAAAGATACAGGTTTCTAGTTCATTTTTTTTATTTTTATCTTTTGATGAGTTCTCGCGTAGAATTGGATACAACAGAATTGCAGTTCTTCTACCAGGACACCCGACTATGACAGTCTTTGTCCATCACAATTAGCACTTCAACCAATGAGAGGATGACAATTAGGGGTTGGACCAATGAGATACTGGCTGCATGCCCCTCAAATACACTTCTACCTGATGATATGTTTTATTATCCTCCAATAGGCGGTGTTGAGGACACTCCCAAGCCGCAGACCACAGACAGTACGGGGCTGGTGGTAGGACTGGTGCTGGGGCTGCTGGCTGCTATAGTGATAGCCGGGGGAGTCATCTACTACTGCCGGAATAAGGGCAGTGGCAGCAGTAAGTACACAACTTCTTCAAATAACCAATAAAGCCACACTAACCTAATTTCATAATAAAATATGCCGGTAAACCACAGGAATACAAAGCTGGTATTGCGAATTGACCCACAGAACACATTGTAACATTAACAAGCAAACAAGAATGAGGTAGATGTTGTTCAGGTTTCGGCCTCCTTCACAGCTTCTCTGTCAAACAAACCCAACACAAAATGTTTATAATTAAAAAATGGTATTTGTCAATGGATATAAATGTCAGGAAAGTCTGGTGAAGTTTGCTTGTTGACATTTAATGGTATGATTAACCATTTTCAGACTTGGGACATAATGAAGTAATATAGCATTTGCAGTTAGACCTACAGGGCTCATTTCACAAAAAGTGGGATTGGCCAATAGCAGTTAATTAGCGCAGAAAATCTACACCGATACCTTTTAACGTCTAAAGCTAGATTTATCTTAAGATGATTCTTCTGCGATCCAAAACACGACAGCTTCAAAGGCAAAAAAGCCACGAAACTACGACAAAATGACTCCTTTCTTTATCAAACACTTTGAAATCATTCAGTCATTGACACACGCCCAATTAGAGGGAGAGGCCGGCCCTGCATAGTTCTATGTCACTAGGGCGGAGAACTGGACGTCTTGACCAAACACTTACACTGTTTTCTTTGCGACAAAACCGGTGTGTAACATAGTGTAACATATGGATGGGAGGGGGGCGCAAATACTTGTCCTGTTTGCACAGTAAACATGTCTCTTGATTTGAAAGGTTATCCACAACTGCTGTTTGAGACTTTAGTTTTATCCTTTTGGCAAGTAATTTTTAAAAAAAAAAGAAGGGTTCTTTTTCAATCTGCGCATGGAATTCTATACACATGCAATTGCAATTGCATACAACTGTTGGAGCATAACATAAGTTGAAATCAAGGAACAAAATACATGGACAGCACACAGTTTTCTCATTCTAGAATTTGCGATAGTAAGAAAAATCTACATTATCTTTGTCCCTAAAACTGACACAGGATAGTTCTGCTACTCTTATTTTCTGTACTTTTACACACCGAAGCATCTGCACCCCTGCGTTCAAAACCGTACCTAGTACAAACTCCTCCATTGTTACCAACGAACAGAAGGAAGTATTTGCCCAAACAGAAGTTGACGCCTCTCCATAAAAAGCAAAGTTTGAACATTGCAGGCACCATTTCGTGCCATGTAAAGGCGTTTAACCTCCATTGCATTTGCAAACACGTTTGTTGGCTGATTGTTTGCCGAGTAGACAGGTGGCTTTAATGATGAATTAATCTTTATAATTTAGACTTTCAATAGCTGCAAATGATGTGGTAAAACATCTGGTTCTATAGATGTCATGATCAGGGAATAGAGAGAATTCGAATGTCAACAATAAAAAATGCAGACTCGAATGGAGGCGATGTTTGTGTCCTTTCGGTCACTTAACTGGGAGCTGACTGGTGTGTGGAAGTGTTAAAATTCATTCAAAGTTATGTATATCAAAATGATTTTAAAAACTTAAGCAGCATGTCCTTTGTTGTTAAAATCGTTAAAATGTCTCTCATGATAGCATTTTTCAATGCAAAGGGAAATTGTCATGAAAGATAACGTAACTCTTCTTTTTTTTAGGTAAAAAGGCTGACAAGAAAACCAAGCAGCAGACGGCGGGGTCACAGAGGTCAGTGACCCTCTGCTCTTACAAGACCGTGCAACTATGACGTTTGCAGTTTCAACGGAAACTAGGATTTGAATTTTTTATGACAAAATATAAAACGTCCTTTGCACATCGACCCAGGAATGCCAAAATAAATCGATTATGAATTTTGACACCTTTTCTTTTGTTTATCTACATTAAGTTTGAGTCAAATATGTGACAAACTGACCGCTTGTGCTACCTATTCCGGACTGTGGACAAACATTTGACTATAATGACATGCTTACCAAACAACATTTGACGGACATTCTCGTTGCTATGCGACGAATCAGACGACAACTTGACACATGTCCTCTTTGACCTTCTCATTGACTTTTTAACGGACGCTAAATGACCTTGACCAACAACTGACTCAACTATGACATCTACATGACCTTGAGCGACAGCTGACTGACAATGACGTCATCTGACAAGCATCTCGGTCTGTCGTCTGACGAGATTGCTTCTCTCCCAGCAGGCATGCTGACATGGAGGCGGGAACGGGCCGTCCGGAGAGCTGGGAGGCGCCAAAACCCCGGAACGACTCGCCCAAGAAGAGGGCGGGGGTGTTCGACACCACTGACGTCGTGGTATGTAAAATTCAGCAAAATATGAGCAACTTTTCCTCAAAAATATGCAAAACGAGCGTTTGTCCTTTACCGCAAATTTAGCCAAAATCTGAGAGAATTTTCCTCATGAATTTACAAAATAGCCTCTTCGTAGAATCTTTAACGAGAGCTTTCCTCAGAATTTTACAAAGGAGTTGTTGATAGATTATTTTCATATTGGTAAAGGGATATCTTAGAAAGTAGGCATTAAACTTAAAGAATATTGGGGTTCAGGTGATCTTTTAAACAAAAGAAGAAGTTCTATTTCCAAAAGAAAACGAAAACGATTTGCATGAAATCAAGACCCGGTTGTAGATACCTACACCAAAAAGGGATTTTCTAGAAGAATGTATTTTTATTTTTCCTAACCCTAACCCTAACCCTAACCCTATAAAAGTGTTTTTGAAATTTATCGTCAGAAAATACTTCACAATGTACTGACGTTTGACTCTTGTTCCCAGGGTCCGGCTGATGACGACATGGACTACTCAAAACAGGACATCCACCCCCCAGGGCCTGATGGGAAAAATGGCGTTCACGAGAAGAGAAATCTAGACGGTTATGTTTAATGTTTATGTGGCTTGCAAAGCTTATTGCTTAGAAATTTTGTAGTTGTTTTCTTTGCGTAGTCTTGTTTCTTGTGAAGATAGCTGCATTGGTTAATCGATATTTTATCAGTGAAAATGTAATTTCGTAAGTTGTTAATTTTGCTACTACAATATACCTTGTTGAAGTTGGTGCAACCAAATACTTTTTGGTGCAACCAATGAGCTTTAAAATCATTGGTGCAACCAAGTATCTATGTTTTATGTATTTTTCCTTGACCCTTTTGTTGAAGTCAGTATACGATTTGCTAGGCTAGGACTTCAAATAGTAAAAAAAGAGGTTGAAACCTGTAACAATATCCCTTATATCGCCGTCCTGACCATTTAATGTATAGTGATATTTGGAACATAAAAAAGTCAATCAGTCCTTAAAAATTGGTAAAATGATTTATAGTTGAGAGAAAATATTTGTAGTGAAGATGCCTAAATCTTGAAAGAAAGCACCCACGTAATATTGTTTTATGAAGTTCTTCGTACTTATGCAATGTTGTCTTCTTGATAGAATTGTATTTAGTTTCTTGTCTTATTTTAAATCCAACAATGAATACTAATTCAGAAATATATTTGTATTCTTCAGTGTAGATGCTTGATTTGATAACGTAATAATAAACACTAAGTGTTATTTAATTGTCATAATCCTATGCAATTCAATTACGTAATACATCGTTTTATTCAATCACAATTATGATTTTACTTTAATGTGAAACGTGACATTATACATTATTTCTTTGTGTTTGTAAATTTTGTAACTTTGTTGTGTGTTATGCCTGGAAAATTGAGTTTTGCATGTCTTTTGCGAAAGACTACTGTTAATTGATTAGGCAAATGTATATCCCAAACCTCCATGCAATATTGTATACCTAGTACATATACGTCGTATGATATAGTACATGTACTAAGTATTTGCCACACGTAGATGGTATACTAGAAGTGAAAATAATGAAGGCTACTTAGCATAAGCAACATTTTTATATCAAAATGCACAAATTTGAGCTTCTTTCTTCTTCCAGCCTCACCATATCCCTTCTATTGTTAATTCTACACGCTTTTCAACATTTTGAAAGCTTTGCACCGAGGCAGCTTACCATATCACTTGCTTTAAGCCAGTGAATTAAATCTCTTATGTTCTTATATCCTGAGATCAATCATATCCTTGTTTTAATCTTATATAAGTGTTATGAAGTATGCAAACTTGTTGACACACTTCAAGAAGTCGGATCTATTTTTACGGAACAATAGAAAAACGAAGCGGTAACAGATTACATGCTTAGATATGGTTTACATTTGTTTGTAATGAAGTGTAGTTGAGATGATGCTTTACGTTAGTCTGCGGTGTTGAAGTGACTTGTTGTATAAAGTTAAGTGGAGTTCTCGATAAGAATAAAGCAGACCGCTTTTTTTTATAAAACCGCCACCCGTTTTCTTCAGTTTCGTGAATTTGCAAGCACTTCAATTCAACTATCCTTGATGTCATCCTAGATAGTTAACTGGTACTATATTCTATCTACCCTAAAATATATAGCAATTAACAAAAAAAACGGTTAAAATCCAAATGAGAAATTGTCATTTGTTACAGTTTTTGGAAAGGGAAATTTGAAATTATTTTGAATTGAAAAAAATACAGGAAGATAATGTTTCTCGTTTTCATATTTGCATAACATTTCTCAAACATGTCAGTTCAGTCTCTATGTCTGTTGTTAGTTCAATGTTCAGAGCCAATACTACATACGTGTACATACAATTTATCACTAAGGAAACAAAAATGGCAGGTTTACATGTAAGACCAGCTATTTGGAGGCTAAACAACAAGGTTATTTGCTCATTCATCACCAATTAGGTCTTTTAAAATATTTGCAAACTGCTGGAAACGTGACGCATACATCTGCAAACATACAAGCCCCTTTTCTGACATGAACAAATATTTTTGCTTCTCAGTACCGCATGCATCCTTTTTTTGGCTTGTAAGGCCACACCGATTTAATTTTATGGATGACATCCGCGCGCGCATTGGTTTTCGCCTGATCTAAAAAAAAAAAAAAGATCACGTCTTCCAAGTCTCTGGCCTGGCTTTAGGCTTGGGTAGTCCATGCGACAGTGAAGCCGGTGATAACTCTGGAGGATGGCACCCAGGCTACCGAAGCTCCACGACTCAAGAACTCATTCAAAAATTCCGCAAAAAGCCAGCATGTGCTGACCTGTCGTATACATCGCGATGTAATGCGCCAAATTCACCGGCTTTGTATTCCTCCGGTTTAGTAGCATTTTTATTTTGGGCCGGATTTTTCTTTTTTTTTTCGCCCGCGCGCACTAGTTTGGAGGTCTTCAGAGGATGTCATCCATAGAATTAAGGCGGTGTGGCCTAAGTATTGAACGTGTCAGACTGTGCGTGAACTTTTCAACTCCGCGGCTTTGTTTGTGTAAAATTCAAACTATTGAGCCGTTAGAAGTGAAGTGTCCTTATATGGCAGGTGTCGGGGTCGTTACACTAACCTGTCACTCAAGTGGACTTCGCTCCTCCCTTATTTAGAGTATGTCAAACAAGTGTTCACTGGCTGTTAAAGGTTTAGAAAAAATCCATCCACGTGGACCAAAACTTCGTACTTCTACAGCTAAATTCTACTTCTTAGGATATTTCTAAGAGTCTGGAATACTATTTTGTCGTTATCTGTTTTGGGGTTATATTTCTTAAAACATTAACGCGATTACTTCTGTCTAGACTTCTGTCATAGCCATTTTAAGATGGAGAAATCATTAACTTAGTTATATTGTGTGCTTTATTTGCCAGAGGTAGTATTTGACCCGCAAAGCAAATATTCAAGTGATGAGAGTGGGGCGGCAAACAGTCCTTCTATAGCGCCACACAGCGGCCGATTTGTTACTGCAGCTGAGCAGGCAGCTGGGGCAACAGTGTAATAGCAAATGAGAGGAATAACTCACAAACATTCGAATAGGCTGTGGAAGAGGTGTATGGCAGGTACTAGTATATCCCTTGGCAGCGCGGTGTGGAAGGGCAGCGGAAGAGCGGTATGGAAGTAACGTTATACCCCTTGGCAGCGCAGTGTGGAAGTGCTATGGAAGAGCGGTATGTAAGTGTCGTTGTGGGCCTTCGTACTTTGTCAACGAGCGCAGTGTGGAAGGGCTGTGGAAGAGCGGTATGAAAGTATCGTTGTGGGCCTTCGTACAAGACACTAAATCTGAGTAAGGGGTGACGCGAGTACTGGAGTAGGGCACGAGAGGCGGGCACAACAGGCGGTCACCACAGGCGGACTGTACCATTTCATGTGCGGGGGAGGGGCAATATCTGAAATTCAATGCCGTGTCCCGTTACACACATTTTTGCCTACTCGCTGCCTCTCTATTACATTACAAAGCACGGAAACATAATTTTTTTGCCAAATATTTTTGGGAGTATTTTGTAAATTACGTAAATTATGATCATATCCGATAGGATTACAATGGGGCATTTGCAATGTGTCAAGCAGGTTTGATTTAACCTCATGATTATATGGAGAAATGGAAGCTTTTCCGAAGGGTAACATTTTAGGAAATTTTATGATTGTTAACATACATATGCCAGATATATCATATACAATCATATACATGTACAAGAAACTCCGTCAT